CGGAAGATACTACGCAAAACTCGATCTGGCCGATGCCTACCTACAACTTGAAGTCGCTTCGGGGTCCCATCCACTGCTGATCATCAATACTCATCGCGGTATAGTCCAATATAACAGTCTACCCGTCGGAGTCAAGACCGCTCCTGCTGTTTGTCGAAAGTGCATGAGTACCATTTTGGCCGGCATTCCTGGGGTGGCAGCATAACTCGACGACCTATTAATTGTAGCTAGTTCGCAAGATGAGTTACGCAAGCGGATCGAAGAAGTCCTCCAACAGATTGAAGACAACGGACTCAGACATTGGCAGGAAAAATGCGAGTTCTTCTTGACTTCAGTCAAGTATCTGGGTTTTATCGTTGACGCCTCTAGCCGGCATCCGAATCCTAAGAATATCCGTGCTATTCAACAAATGCCGACTTCCGCAAAGATGTTCCATCACTGCGCTTCTTCTTGGTCTAATCAGCTATTACTCGGCTTTTCTACCGTCAATGCACAATGTCCGACCACCTCTGAATCACTTGCTCGAAAAGGACGTACCTTGGGTTTGGTCCAACGAGTGAGAGGTGGCCTTCTGTCAACTCAAGGCAATGCGCAGTTCGGACCTGCTGCTGACCCACTAAAATCCAAGTCTACCAATTGTTGTTGCAATTGACGCCTCGGCCAAGGGCATTGGAGCTGTCATCGCATGCGTCTTTCCCGACGGCTCAGAAAAGGCCATAATACACGCATTTATGTTGCTGACAACGACAGAACAGCGTTACGGACAGATTGAGAAAAAAGCTCTCGCTTTGGTTTTGGTTGTCCGCCGTTTGCACAAACTCACTAATGGCCGTCTATGTACTCTGCTGACAGACAGAAGCCACTGCTGTCGATTTCTGGATCAAAAACAGGCATCTTAGCTCACTCACAATGGTGAGCACTTATTCTACTGGGTTATGACTTCGAAATCCAATACCGGCGAACAGAGAACTTGCACAGGCAGACGCCCAATCGCGTCTCACCAGTAACCATCCCACTACCAAGAAAGATGTCATCATGGCCGCCATTTACGTTAACAAATGTATCACTCAGCAGATATATCAAGCAGTTCGCGCGCTGACGGTTTCGATTTTCGACATCAAACGGGAAACTGCCTCGGACAACACACTACGGCAGGCCATCCGTTGCGTCCAATGCAAATGGCCAAAATGCTCCCCACCAGAGGTCTTCGGCAGTTGTTCCAGCGACGCGATTCCTTCTGCGTTATAAACCGCTACTAGATGTTTGGAGAATGCGTTTTAGTGCTCAAATCACTAGGCTTGTGGGTTCTTCATCAATTTCATATTGGCCATCCCAGCATCAGTGTATCGCCCGCTGTTACGCTTTCTGGCCTAATATGGATCAGCACATTGCAGACCTAGTCAAGAGTTGCCGACAGTGCCAGCAGGCCGCCAAGAACCCTCGTGACGTTCCTTCAGTGCCTTGGCCACAATTACAAAAACCTTGTTACGCATCCAAATCGACTTCGCGCAACCGATCAACGGAGTCTCGTAGCTTATGCTGGTCCACGCCTACTCAAAATGCAAGGAGATCGTCGCAATGACTTCCTTCACAACTGCGAGGACATTATATGCTCTGTCCCAGATTTTTAGCCAACGTGACATTCCGGAAACCATTGTCTCAGGCAACGGGTCACAATTCACTTCTCAACTATTCAAGGAATTCTGTCGACAGCCTGCTATTTCACACATGCATTAGAGACCCTACCCGCGAAAAGGTTTGTCGACACATTGAAGCGATCCCGGCTAAAATCCCGTGAAAAAGGAAGGACATCCATCGAAAGTCTACAAAAATTTATGCTGGTGTATCGTACAACACCAAACGGACTCTAGCAAATCGACAGTCGCCATCTGAGGCACTCATGGGTCGCAAAATGCGGACAACCAATTTTGCAATGATTCCGGTACAGGACAACCGCCTGGAGCCTCCGAGTACGACATCTACCAGCCCATTTGAAGTCGGAGCAACCGTGTACGTTCGAGACAGTCGACCATGGCACGACCCATGGATCGATGGGACGATTGCGCTCCGACTCGGAAAGGTCTAGTTCGACGTGATGGTGGGTCACGACACGTGGTCAAGGCATCGCAGCTAACTTCGATTGAGAAATGAATCTGCGTCACAAAATCGCCAGACCAGCCTCCCGCAGGATGTGCTGTGTGACGCATTCCAGCTGCCGCCACCGCGAACAACGCTAGTGAAAACTAACAGAGATCAACTAGCAGCAGAGAGTTCTTCACCCTCAAGGCAGATTAGCCGAAAACGGCTAAAAACAACACAACTCGAAGTCGACCCAAAGAAGAAGCGTTATTGGATTTCAAGTAAGAGAGGTGTTAGGGATCCACGATTCCCCAAATTTTATTGTCGCTGGTTTCTGGCACAATTTTCACTAATTCACTGACATATGTTATATTAAGCTCGTTATCAAGCCAAGGTAAACCTTGACTCGATTTAGTTTCACTTTCGACAACCCACTCCACACGTGGCTGATGTGATTAAAGCTCTCTATGCGAGATCCGGTCTTGTTCTTGTACTACCGTGGAAAAGTCAGTGCTAGCGTCAACAAAGGATCAGTTACCGTTATTTGAGTGATTTCCTCTTTCTTTCGGGCAAACGTGACATTAGGCTGCTTTGATAATGCAGGCGTTAATGGATGCAAATCGCTTGAGACTCTCTGGTGTGGCATTGGTGCCCACGTAGCCATCAAGTTGAAATGCTGTGCGTTGTCTTCATCTGATAGCGCAATTATGTTGAGGCGGATGTGTGCCACGACATCAAATACACTCTCAGGATTGGTTCTGACTATTATGATTTTCCACCTTTAGTGTATTGCAAGAATCCACATCGAAAAACATATTATATTCGTTTATTTCAGCTACATTCCCTGGAGAGTTTTCGCGAAACATTGTGGTAACGTGTGCCTAAGGGAACTCGACAAGTGCACGTACCGATAGACAGCGTCGTCTTATTTAAAATTTGATTCTGGGATACTACCAAGGCTCTGCGGTATGGATCGTGGTGCAATGCAGTACTGCCGCAGCATTCTCTTTCACGCCATCGGCACTCATTTAGATCGTAATAGGTGATCATTATTACTGCCCACTCATTCATCATCTCTTGCGTGTAAATTGCCTGAACATTTAAGTGCGTGGGCTTACAGGCGAATTGCCGGTTCAAACAGCCATATCATTTGCACATGTAGAGGCGCCCCACAAATCCACTTATCATTTGATCTCCATCGGCGCTTCTGCTTCAACTTACACAGAATATGGCATACATCTGAAGAAGCACTGCCTAAATCGCCTCTTTGTCCAAGTCAAGCTGGCGGTTGTCGAAACAAAGGAGACATACAAATGCAAGTTATTTAAA